CCCCTGAATCAAATCCATTTGAAAATCTATGGTACACATTGTCACTGTAAATATCGAAGAAACAGCCGTTGACCAAAATGGAACTTACTGGGTCCATTATTGATGGTGTGAGCCGTATCGTCACTTGCGAGCATTTCCAAAAGCTGGTACGTTCTGTGTCTGCGATAAGCATAGATATTAAGCGAAACGAAAGCGGGTCAATCAAGTATTAAATCTTTACTGCTGTGCGCGGCACCTTTCTGGACCTTTTTAACTAGTAATACTGCTTACGTTGTGTTAAGCGAGGCCACAGTCATAATGCAGTTTTCGCATCATACCGTCCAACTGGAGGTTAATTGGTCTAATGCTACAATTTTCCTGTATCGATATTTAAGGGAAACAGCTGTGATAGGAGTTGCATATATTTCCAGCATTTCTATATCGCTGGAATGATGTATCAAATAAGTTGAGTATTCATCAAAGTGATGCTGAACATTCCACAGCTCTATGATTTTTGAGGCTGGGGACTTTTCATATGACTTTGATTTGTCTCATGTGCCTGGGTACGGTTGTGATGATACTGTCGAACACCGCACGAATTGGAAGCTAGGCTTTCTGATGCATGGGGCAACAACCTATGCATAACTGTCCAGATAGAGATGAAAGCTGAGGCCTTTGTTTAACCAGTAGGAGGTGGTTGAGGGTATAGAAGGGCACATTCGATTGGAGTAGCCAATTGTAGTGTAAATCTGGTGGTGAGAGAGGAGCAGGTTGGCCTCTCTGTTACGAAACTAAAAACAACTGCAGTTGGCGGCGCCAGGCATACTTCTGCGGTTGCACTGATTGCGTTGTCTTCCAAATGTTGATGTCGTTCCACTGGATCTGATATGCTTTGCTCTTTTTGAATGATATGTACGAACAGAAATACTGGCTACCTTTTTTGGTACCTAATGTTAGTACGTAGTCTTTATTACCAATGTACGTTTCGCAATTTTTATCTCGTCTTCTCTTCCATCTTACTATCCAACACTGTAATCCATTGGTTTGCACGGCGAATCCCGAACGTCTTGGCCATTATTTACTATTTGTCGTGTTGCAACTTGGATGCACTTATTCTATCAATTCCTTCTCTATTCTTCGTCTCTTCTACCTGCGTGATTTGCCTCCTTTTCTGTTTTCTACTTCAAAGCAACGTCCCTATGCATTCCCAATTTTCCCATTTGTATTACCTTTCCTCGTCGACTCTATCATGCATTTTGCCAGGCGTTGTTCACGGTTCTTAGTGGCATAGTGAGCAAGGCGTCAGCCCTTAACCAGATCTACAATCTTGGATCTGCGACATCTTTGGCGACCGAAGGAGTTTCCATCCGTCTGGAAGTCCGTGTTTACAAGGTCACAGTAGGGGCCGTCCTATTCTATGGAAGCGACACTTGGCCCCTCCGACCTGAGAACCAGCGGTGCCTTCAAGTCTTTTATCATCACCGTCTGCTGAGCATTGCTGTTGTCCGGTGTCATCAGCGTTTCCGCAACGATGATATGCGTAGTCTAGTACTAGTTATTGATAACCAAGCTAGTTCCTTAGAGCCACAGATAGCACTAAATGTGTTGCATTAACTTGGGTACGCAGTAGGTATGCCCGGTCACAGCTTATCGAAGGGAGCCTTGTTTTGTTTACCACAAGGCACAAGGGAATCCTTTTTAGGAATTAGGAGCCACCCTCATTCCAACCCTCTATTTGGAGGACAAGGAGACTGAGTTTGTCTGGCCTCTAACTTCGTTGACTGCTGCTGCAGCAGCCATTTGAACTGATGCTTCACTGCCATAAAATCGCAACAACGCTGGACCTTACTGCGGTGCCATGGTCTGTGCGCATTGGGGATCCATTGAGCTGTGCTGGTTGGTGCTTTTGCACCTTCAGAGCCACTCATACCAGATCAGTCAATGTGGATTGAGGGCATACAAACCCATTCTTCTGGTCCTCCAGATTTGGGGTTGGAATGACGGTGTCTCATTATTTCTAAAACGGATTCCTTGTAGTTCCCTGCGAAACCCGCTGCCTTGCGGTCAGGTTTTTTGAACCGAGGGCTTTGATAGAGAACCCTAATCGTTCTCTTGTCTATGCCAATGCAACCTGATAGCATTCGGCCCACTCAGTACACCATGACTTTTCCTTCTAACAATCTCTTGATGCTCTGGCCACAGCAGATATCAATTGGTCACACTAAGGCAGTGTTATCCGACTGCGGTGCTGTCGTTCCAATGCATCTCTTTCTGTTGGTTGTCTGAGTGTTCGCTGAGCTTGGCAGGTTGACTGCAAACGTTTCGTCACCACTCGAGGTGACATCGTCAGTGCGTTTGTATTTAGCAACGTGGCGCGTACGGAGCGTCAGTGAGTGTGGAGTGATCGATCTCCGAGCCGCTAGTCTGAGTTTGGATTGTTCGACGAGCACATGACGAAACGTTTGCAGTCAAACTGCCAAGCTCAGCGAACACTCAGACAACCAACTGAACAACCTGAGCTACCAACATTTGCTTCTATATCGCAGCATCTCTTTCTGCTTTTCACTCTTTGAGTGATGTTCCCAAAGATGAATATTGGATTCCGCGATCCGTTTCTTATGTTTCCGTGCTGTTGCTTTTACCGATAGATGCCTCGCAGTTTTTATCTTCCATGTCACTTGATCCTCGAACACTGTAATCCATTGATTTACACTGCGAATCCCCGAATTTGGTGGCCATCATTTACTATCTGTCGTGTTGCAACTTGCATGCGCTGATTCTACTAAACCATTCCCTATTCATTGTCTGTTTTCCCTTCGTGATTGGCCCCCATTTGATCATTTTCGCTTCCCTACTTCAGAACTGCGACCCCATATATGTGAACATTGTGGCAAATCGTATTCTGTGAAGCACGGTTTGCGAGGACACATTAAATCTGTCCATTCGAGTAAGTGTACAATTGATCAAGTCAGTTAATCTTAACTTGTGTCATCTGCGTCGTTATCTTTGTTGGTCTCACGTGGTTTTGGTGGCAGCAATCCTGCTGAGAGTAACAGCTCCTTGTTTCTTTTTGCTCAGAAACATTTTGGTCTACAGAATGTTCAGTTCTACAACTGGCTACCGTAATATGTAGCGAGTGAATCAATTCGTTTGACTCTACACTTGCTTTTATCGTTGGCGGCTTTCTGTTCCGGATTTACCTGTCACGGGGGCTGCGGACGTCAGCACTGCGGTTGCATCTTACTGAGGGACCATGGATGGCTTGCGCTGAACAGTCTGCAACTTCACCCACACACCCCGTGTCCAATGTAAATTCCATGGTATATGTATAACTTGTATATCCCTCTCGAAAATACGAGACACCCCCATCATAGAAAACACATGACATCGTTTATCAATGCGGGGTTACAAAGGATTTCGAAATAACTGAGTAACTGGTAAAGTTAACAAGTGAAAACATAGTCCTGTGTTCACCTAAAGTGATACGGTCATCCGTTGGATTGTCTGCAAAGCATTCCCTCGAAAACTTCCACCGGCACTTCCATGGGGGCATGTACATCAGCATCACTTTAACAAATATGTCTCTTTGTAAACATGGGTTTCGGACTATCATGCAGCCCATTTCGCGCCTGGCACTTTTTTCTTAAGGTTAGTGAGCACATGGCATTACGCCTTTTCCGTTAATAATTATTACTCTGGACGCTTCAATCCTTCACCTCAGATCAGCGCACTCGTGGCCAACCATGGAATGAGGATCGGTGAAACTATGAACAATGCAAACAATAGCAATACACAAGTCGGTTCCCAACTAGCTGAGACACGTTTCGTCCCACTTGGATCGATCATAGTGGGTCGAGCAGACATGTTGTCACATCCAGCTTCAAGTCACGCTTGCATCAGGCCCGACATACACACCTACAGCTTGCGCACCTTTTTCTATAAACAGGTTGGAACATACCTTACCAAACGTGCACAGGGCAGTAGATGGACTGTAGCCAGTTCCACACTAGATGTAGAACCTCTTTCAGCCAGGCACTGTGCCCCCGAGCAACCTCTCACGGTGTGTTCTTGCTCGAAGCCCTTATCGATCACTGATTTTGCATTTTTATATAGCACACATCCATTAGGAGTTCTCCCCTTGTTAAGTGTCCAGTAGTTCCATTTTTTACCGCCACTGTCTTCATGGCTGCCGGCGCAATCATACCTACTTTTAACTTACCACACCCCTGGGTTCACTGAGGGCGTCATTTTTCATTACCCAATTGTACTCGCAGGGAATTAGGCGGTTAATTACGGTGGATCCATTGGCCATGATCCGCATGGTTATGATGTGGATACATAGCCATGGATAAAGTGGTGGAATTAAAATATATTACCCAAATGTAAGCTTGGAAAATAGTACAAAGGTACTCATCGAATATCATCAGCTAAATGTCAGACACTTAACACAGGTTCATCACTCGTGTGGACTGTCTCGAGGCCTCTGTCAGCGAGAACGACACGTAGTTCTCTCACCAATTCTTCCCTTCCATTTTTATGCTACTGTTATACCACATCGTTGGCTGGCCACTTCTGAGTCGCAGGCAACTGGGTGCGGCGCTGCCGGATATTGCACGCCGATGAAGGGGATCACTGGGCATACGAACGATCTAGCCAACCTAGGCGATTCAAGTTTGGCAGACACTCCAGCTATGTACCAGCTGACTTTTTGACAGAAACCAACTGACGAACCTTAAGGGAGTTAGCACCCTTTGGCTGGCAGCTCGGATCAGTTGACCCTGGCGCAGACCAAAGCTTATTGGTCAACCAATGAGAGCGGGACGAAGACGACGTTTCACCATAATGGCTATCAATGCGGAAGGTCTACCTTGAAGCCTGCACGCGAGCGCTAGCTTATTCTCTTATTAACCACTGTTTCGACCACAATATTTGATTGTTTACACTGCTTGCCAGGTAATCAATACTGTTTTCGCCTGAGACCTTATTTTTCTAACATGGAATGCCGGTCGATCAACTTACGCAGTAGAAGCAGGTTATCGGTACAGTCAGCGGAAAGCACAACAAACCTCAGCAATACTCATCCGGTGTTCCCATCAGATGTGAGCAATATTCCGCGAGCAACGGTGGTCAAACGCGACCAGTCGTTGTTTGCTTTCACTGCAACATTGACAGGTCTCTGATCAACGCAAGAACGCCTGCGTTATCGCAGAGTAACACACCTTATCATGATCTGACATGCTGATATCACACCGTCTCCACAGGTATGTTGAGTATCAGTAAAATTACAGGGCTTCGATGAAACGCGAAATACAATGTGCAGTGATGTGCGCTCTGGTGACAGCTGCCATGGTCCGTGAACTATCCACGATTTCTAGTGGCGGTACAGTCAGTACTAGAATCGGTGTCGTAACGGTTCATCATCATCATTATCATACACGTTAGCTAGAAGTGGGAAACACCTCAGCTACTGTGCCGTAATACATAGAAAAAAGGAGAAAAAATGTAACTCGTGCAAGGCGGCTGAGCTACCGGTAGCGGATGGGCATCGTTCCGGTGAGCTACCAGCCGGCTACTGTGCATAAAAAATTACTGTGCAAAATTATATAAGGCTAAGACCGTAAGATCGTGGTTAGAGGGGGAGGCTAAGAGGGATGGGGTGGGACAAATAAACTCACTGCACGAACGCCACTGAGGTCGGCTCCTAGTCATATCAGCAAGTGTATCCAGCCAAACGTGTTCATCGTCTTTCGGACCCCAACCAGGGAGCCGAGACGCTCCAAGTGAGGCCAGCTCCGAAGTGAAGGCCTTCATTCCTCTCGACCAAGTCATCGATGGCCATCTCTCCACTTCTTCCATCCACACCCCAGGCGCGCATACAACGTACGTCGCAAGAGTCGGTGGGCTGGCATGCGTAACACGTGGCCGAGCCACCGGAGCCTGGTGCGTGAAATAACGGTGCTGAGCGGTTCATTTCCTTTTTCAGTGCCGTAATCAAGGCGTCGAACACGCTGGTTACTCACGCGGTGTTCCCACCAGATGTGAGCAAAATTGCGAAGACACCGGTGGTCTAACGTAACTAGCCTCTGTATGTCCGCTGCTCTAAGGGGCCAGGTTTCACAACCGTACAGTAAGGTCGCACGTACCGCTGCATTGTACACTCTACCCTTCAGGGCAAAAGTGATGTCGCACCGGCGCAATAAGTGGGGAAGGTTAGCAAAAGCGCCTCGAGCTTTTGCTATACGGTTCGTGATCTCATCTTCAATCCTACGGGCGCTGATACAACTTCCCAGGTAGTTGAATTTTTGAACGACTTCTAGCTGATCCCCACCAAGGGTCAGTGAAAGAGGCGGTCCAGGCCAATCTTGGATTAACGCTTTGCACTTCGATGGTGCAAAGCAGAGCCTGAAGCGGTTGATAGCCAATGTTTATCTGTCCAGTGCCGCTTGGCACGTCTGGGAGCTGTCAAAGATTAGGGCAAATATCATCAGCATATTCTCAGTCAATAAGTCGTTCTCCAGGGAGCAAATCCACACTTTCTGAGTTGTGTCCTGTGAACGCGATTTCCATGATTTCGTCAACAGCGAAGTTGAAGAGGAAAGGTGACAGCGGTCATCCTTGTCTCACGCCGCTTTAGAAATTAAAGGGCGATGACAGCTTGCCGTAAGCCCTCACTCTGCCCGTGCTACGCGCGTATAATGCTCGGATAATATTTACATATTTCTCAGGTACACGTTTCCTGAGAAAACAGTCCCAAAGTGCACGTCTATCCACGGAATTGAATGCACCTTTGATATCGAGGAACACAACAACGGTGGGCTGCCACTATGTGTGACGGTGCTCCAACAACTGATGCAAAGTGAAGATATGGTCAATGCAGCCATGACCTCGACGAAATCCGGCTTGCTCTTCGCGAATCTGGCTTTTGCGAGTGCCAGCCAGTCTGCGAATTTTGACAAAGGCAAGCAATTTGGAGGCGATGGAGATCGTCGTATCGGTTCAGACATGCAGCAACACTTCTTCAAAGAGAGAACGCACATGCCACATCGTTAGTTCAAAGGGGAGTGCTGTTGTTCCCAGACAATGAAAATAAGTCTTGCATCCCGGGGATCTTCCCATAAAATTCGTTTACTCTTTTTGAAGAGGAAGACGACATTTCGCCGTCGCCGGTCTCAAGGCAATTCTTGTGTCCTAGATAGTGTTGGATATGGCATCAAGTGTAGTCAACAGTTATTTACTTCAGTCTTTCAGCGAAGATCGTAAAACGTCATCGTGTCCAGTGGCTTATTTTTAACTTAGCGAGTTCCGGTCGAGTCTGTTCCACAGTTGGACATATAGCATCAACTTTCCACGAGGGTGTAGGTGACTCAGCAAGCGATAGTGCAGCATTAGGCCTTTTGAACTCCTAAAATGTTCGAACCAGTTGAGGCGAACCAAATCTCCACCTAAGTCTCACTAACTGAGGGTTTTCTTTGAGGCAGCTATCATCGACTCATAATCACCGTTTAAATTCAGCTTATTTTTGATGTCCTGAGTTACTCGATCGGGCCAGTGACCGCTCATTATCTCTATTGTGACTGAGTTAAGTGGCAGTATCCAATGTGTGAAAATTTGGTAGGGACGCCGGCCCATTTGAGCACATTGCCTATGGGATGGGAGCAAGCGTGAACAGTTTTTGCCATGTAGTCCACACTAACATAAGTTAACAAACATTTTCATTTGACATACTGGCGTCCTCCGTATCTCCTGTTTCTTCTCTGTCGCAATTATTGTTGACGAGCAACTGTACAAATGCGTCATATTCATCCCTGAAGTTAAACTTCACATCCTAGAGGACGAGCACAAAGCACCGAAGAGGTGTCTAGCGCTCTGTGGCTGTACTGCACCCCATTATCCCGACGTAGACGCTCATGGTACGCAACCTCAGATCTTTCAGTCAGCAGAATTTAA